TAATTTAATTCTATAATTTAATAGCCTTACATATTATTTATTTATTTATTTGATTTATATTGCCACCTATTCACCCATGGTGACTCAAGGCGGCTTACACAATGTAAAATCATATTTAAAACAAAGAATAAAAATAAAAACAAAAAGAACAAAAAGAATCAAATAAATTAGTAAAGTACAATAGAACAAAATTTGGGAAAACAAAAAACAAAACAAAAACAGAAGCCAACTCCCACCCCCCAGCCCAACAATAGCGGGTCACACTAGCCATTTGATGAGTTCCATCCCTCTCTGGGTTCCCCAGCCCCGCTGGCATAAACCAGGTCTTCAGTGCCTGGTTTATGTAGTAGTGAGGAATCTTCAGTGCCTGGTTTATGTATTAATGAGGGGGCCATTCTAATCTCTAGGGGAATGATGTTGCAGAGAGATGGAGCCACCACAGAGAAGGCCCTTCTTCTAGGTCCCACCAGGTGTATCTCCCTCAGGGGTGGAACCTGCAGCATGCCCTGCCTCCTCACTCTAATGGGTCAGATAGATGTCACTTGCAAGAGATGTTTCCTCAGATAACCCAGACCCAAGCCATGAAGGGCTTTAAAGGTGACAACCAGCACCTTGAATTGCACCTGGAAGCAAATTGGCAGCCAATGCAGCTCCTGCAGGAGAGGTGATACATGCGCACACCGTGATCTGCATAAAACCATGCGGGCAGCTGCATTTTGCGCCAACTGGAACTTCCAGATGGTCTTCAAGGGCAGCCCCATGTAGAGCACGTTGCAATAATCAAGACGGGAAGTGACCAGGGCATGAGTGACTGTAAGTAGGGACCGCTAATCCAGGAAAGGGTGTAACTGGTGCACAACCCGCAGTTGTGCAAAGGCCCTTCTGGCCATGACTGCCACCTACCCTTCAAGCAGGAGTCATCAGTCCAGGAAAACCCCTAGATTATGCACAGGGTCTGTTTGGGGTAGTGCCACCCCATCCAAGACTAAAGGTGGTAATTCTCCCTGAACCAACGAACCCCAGACCCGGAGCCACTCAGTCTTGTTGCTCCCAATGCAGCCCCTAACAGCCCCCAGGCATTGCAACATTTATTTGATTCTTTTTGTTCTTTTTGTTTTTATTTTTATTCTTTGTTTTAAATATGATTGCAACACCTAACTCACCACGGGTCGAGACATACAGCTGAGTATCATCAGCATATTGGTGATACCTCAGTCCATGGTGATGGATGATCTCACCCAGCGGTTTCATATAAATGTTGAACAGGAGCGGAGAGAGTACCAAGCCTTGCATAACCCCTAAAGCAGCGGGCGAGAGTTGGATCTCTCCCCTCCTATTAACACTGACTGAAAGCAGCCACAGAGGAAGGAAGTGAACCAAGACAGCACAAGGCCTCCCACTCCGATCCCCTGAAGCCCTCCCAGGAAAATCCCATGGTCAATGGTATAAAAGCTGCCGAGAGGTCAAGTAGAGCAAGGATGGATGCACTACCCCCATCCCACTCCTGTCAGAGATCATCCAAAAGTGTAATCAGTGCTGTTTCTGTCCCAAATCCAGGCCTGAATCCTGACTGGTAGGGGTCGAGATAATCCGTTTCATTCAGAAACCTCTGGAGCTGCTGCACAACCACCTTCTTAACAACCTTCCCCAAAAAGGTAAGATTGGAGACTGGTGGGAAATTATCCAACCGGGTGGAGTCAAGTGATGGCTTCTTAAGAAGATGGCAGACCACAGTCTCCTTAAAGTGCTTGGGCACTGTCCCCTCTTGTAGAGAACCATTAATCACCGCCAGAGTCCACCCGCCTGTCACCTCCTGGGAAGTTTTCATAAACCAGGAGGGACATGAGTCTAAAATACAGGTGCTCATGCGCATACTCCCTAGGATCCTGTCTACTTCCTCAGGAGCAACAGGGTCAAACTGTTCCCAGATAACAGGGCAAGAACCTGCCTCAGAAGCTTCCACTGGATCAGCAACCACATCGGCATCTAACTGGGAATGAAGTTGAGCGATTTTGTCTTCCAGAAAATCCACAAATTCCTCAATGTGCCCCTTCAGGGGGACCTCAATCTCCTCCTTCCCTAAGAGGAGACAGCTCATCTTGAAGAGGGTCGCTGGGTGATTATCTGCAGATGCAATTAGTGTGGAGAAGTATTTACACTTCATCTAACGAATCGCCACAAGGTAGGCCTTAGTAGCAGCTCTTACCTGTGTTCGATTGAGTTCATCTCCTGTCTTCCACCAGCACGCTCTAGATGTCTCCTCATGCATTTCATCCCTCTCAGTTCCTCTGTATACCATGGGCCACAGAGAGGTCTACGAGTGAGGAGAGGTCACAAGGGTGCAATCCTATCCAGAGCCTCAATCACCTTCCTATTCCAAACAGTGACTAAGAGTTCGGCTGGACTGCAGAATAGATCTGTAGTTATAACCCCCAGCTCCTTCTGGAACCTATCTGGGTCCATAGTTGATGGGGGAGGGCCAATCTAATAGGTCCTGGTTCCCTGCAGAGGGATGCAGCTTTTGAGAAACTCATTGCCATCAGACCATGACAAGGGGACCAAGGACCAATTCCAGGTCACATAGACACTGCTCTGACAAGAACACCAAATCAGGAGTGTGACCTTTATTACTAGTCGGGCTCTGGATAATCTGGGACAGGCCCATGGAAGTCATGGTTTCTATAAAATCTTGGGCTACCTCCAACCCCAACCCCAGAGAAGGCAGGTTGAAATCCCCTAGAACTATAAACCTGTGGAATTCCACTGCCAGTCCTGCGGTGAAGTCCAGGAGCCCAGGTAGGGAAGCTGCCATGCAGCAGGGAGGCTGGTATAGCAGCAGCAATCCCACCTGATCCTTGAGCCCAATCTAAGAAAAAGGATCTCGCAGCCGAGGACTTGTTGAACAGTGCCTCTGGAGGCTACCAGAGATTCTCTGATAACAACAGCCACACCTCCTCCCCTGCCCTGAGGTCTAGACTGGTGCCATGCTTGATAACCCACTGGGCACATTTCTGCAAGAGGAACGCCTCCCTCTGAGCTCCGCCAAGTTTCAGTTATAGATCAGCCTTCTCTTTGAGGATCAAATCGGCAATAAGGCTAGCTTTATTGCAAGCTTATCTCACATTTAAAAGCAGCAGTCTAAGACCAGGACCACCACAGATCTGCTGACTAGGAAAATGAGGTGAGTGCAGTGGGGCAGAACATGAGATTGTTATTAAACACATAACATTCGTGTTATGGTGAAATATAAGGTTTCTCATGGCACTCAATCACCTCAAGAGGAAAACTTACTTAAATAGATAAGCCTACAAGATAAACAACTCTCATTTAGTATTAGTATTATGCCCTCTGTAACAGGAAAACAAAAGATAGCTTAACTCTCACTGGACAAAATATAATGCAAGTCTAATTGTAAAACTTAAAAGTAATACATTTCTCGCATTATAATCCTGTACATTTCAACTGGGAATTGTCACATCAGTATAATCTAAAACTGGTATGACAACAGTATGATTTTATCAACTCTTTAAAAATCCTAGCCATCTATTCACATTCTGCTATTTTAATTTGATCACCTTGTATCATTTGTTACTATCTAACTTCTTTTATTTCTTCAACTCTCCAGATTTGGCCTAAGATTCCTAGAAAAGAGGCTGCCCATGAAAACCTTATAATAATAGGATAGCCCTATATTATATGTCTGTTGATCAATAAATCCCATAAAATTCAGGAGTCCTTAGTTCTATGTAGCATTACAAAATCCAGATTGAACTATAAATGTGTTTCCTGTTGCAAGCATCATAGATCAGTACCTTGGACAGCTACACTGCTAACTTTATGGCATTGGGATTCTCACTATTTGGGACTTTTGAAATGTTAAGAACACATGCAGAATGGCTATTGAGGGAAACTTGTTTCTTTACAGAACTGAGAGCACCGTTCTAAACATATAACTGAGCTTATGCCATTCATCAGTTTTATTTGATAAGACTGACGGTTGGGATTGTTTGGAGCCAGAAGCAAACATATATATGGAGCTGAAAGCTCTAGTGCCTTGCTTTCTAACATATTAGCTTTCTGGTATGTTGGATTCCTATACCAACTTTCTATAGGGTTTCAGTAAAGAGCCAACTCAGTTCAAAGTACATATTTTGGGGGGGAGGGTTTAATGACTAAGAGTTATCCAGGACATATCCTGCAGAATCATAGACTTTGGACACGTATTATTTGAATGATTTGCCTTAACTTGATTTTAAACATGCACTTGTAAATACAATTAATAAGAACTGGAGAAAAAGACACAAGTTGTGTTATTTTAGTACAGGAGTGGACAACCTGAATTTCTTTAGCTTTGATGGACTTCAATTCCCAGCATCCCTCTGGACTGAACAAATGGATGAAGAGATCCCAATTTCAGTCAACGTAGATTGCATTTCGCCTCTCCACTTTAATTCTATACAGGTGAAAATAGAGGATTCCTTCAAACTTTTTTTTTTGAAACTAATTGCCGTGTAATTCTGTAACAAAATAAAGAGAAGGCTCAATTGCTAGTATGCCTAATATGGAAGATAACTCTCTTCTTTCATACTTTCATGACTTTTAAAAAATACGTGTTGGCCTAATCTAAAAATCGTAATCCCATGGAATTCCTCGTGGACTCACGCATGTTTTTTTAGGGGGGGGGGGGCTAAAAGAACAGTCAAAATGCGCTAGAAGTTACCACACTGATGCAAGCTAATTTTTAAGAAGTATACTTAAAACCGTAGTCTTCAAACTTGATCCTCCCAGTCTGTCGGATTGTGTCATGCGTGTTCCCATATCCGAGTCTTCTCGACGCCACCTCTCTTTAAGTACCCCCCTCTCTTTCTTCCCCATGATCCTCCCCTTCTCTTGCGCGCGCTCTCTCTCGATCTCTGCAAGTCGGATTTGTTTCTCTCCTCCTTCTTCTTGAGATTGTGTTCTTGAATTGCCTCCGCGTCAGGATTCCTGAACCAGCCACTATGGCTGACATAAAAACGGGCATCTTTGCGAAAAATGTTCAAAAGAGGCTGAACAGGGCACAGGAAAAGGTAAGCGAAGACAACTGCAACTGCTGGAGAAAAAGCGGAGTCTGCGATGAAGAAGCGTAGAAGTGCGAGGGCAAGGGGGTGGCAGCTTGCAACAGATCCTTCAGTAAATGCGAGGGATAGAAATCAGCACCTCGCGGATCCATTTGAGAAGAGCTGCACAACCAAGCCGGGCCAGAAGACGTGCAGCGCTGCTACGGCGTTGCAAATGCAAACGCTGAGCGCTTTCATCGCGATCTCGGGCAAGGCCGCGGCTGCGGATGCCGGCGTGGATCAACGTCAGGCTTTCCATAACTAAGCTGCCGCCCTCGCCCGATTCGCTTTTTCTAGAATGGTTTGTACAGAGTGCATTATACCTCTATTAATTGGAGCTCTTACAAGATGGGGTGGAAGCCCGTTAGGGCGAGCGAGAACCAAGTAATTAATCAGAAGGACACGAGCATTTTAAGGGCTGTATTGAATCCCTCCCCGCGGGAAACTAAAAGGAAATATTCAAGGCCGTCTGACTTTTGTTGCCCCATTTGCTTCAATGCCTTGCAGGGCAGTTAAAGGTGACGTTGCTTGGCCTTCCGCAAAAAAAATGTGTGTGTGTGTGTGTATATATATATATATCAGAGGAATTGCCGCGCACCATCAAAACCGCGTTCCCTGCTCGTGTACAGAACAGCACCCTTTGGAAAAATGGTTGAATTCGGGCTCAGTGGGCTGGGGAGTTGCGGCACAGAAATACTGGCGTGGACTTGATTCCTTGCTCATTTGTGTGCCTGAAGTGCTCCCTCTATAAATAAATCTTGATAAAGAGATGGTGGACCGCGGAAAGATGCCCCCTCCCCAAGGAACTTTTAGTTAATACTTTGTCTATAATTACCGTGATCTTCCCTCTTCTGTTGGCAAGCTGCTCTCATCAATAGTGTTATATAATATCCCTTGGCCCATTGAATGATAACCATATTCATGAACCCTTTTAATCAGAGGAAAGATGTAGGGAAGAGTTAGAATTAGATTGCCTTATACCTGTTCTATCATTAACTCAAGAATTATGTATTATTTCTTACCACAGAAAATCAAACAGTTGCAGGTGATGTGCTGTTTTGCCTGGGCCAAAGGTTGGGCCTTGCTTTAATATTTAGTTTTGCTTTTGGGATCAGCTTGCTCAGAGTCAAATACTGTTTGCCAAGAGATAGCGGCTCCAGATTTTTGCAGCCTCTTGGCTAATGAAAAAACCTGTATATTCTGTGAGCTGTTTGTGTGCTCCATAGAAAACAGTTTTGATCCTTTTCATTAATAATAAGACCCCTAGAGAAATATGACTTGGCTACCTTATGGTGATAGTCTTGTTAAGACCATCTGTATTTTATTTGGGAAAGACATTGGGCCATTCTGTCTTATACTTCCCACTTTCCTTTTCCAGCATTCTGGTGCTTTGATAATATTGCAGCTGCTATCAAAGGATTTTGATAATCTGCAGCTTGGAAGGAGGATTGAAACTATAGTTGTCTCTGCATAAATAAAGATTCAGTTCTCCCTAAGCCCCATCTTTATGTGACCATTTCACTAGATTATAAGAGGATTATGTTTCTTTTAATAACAGCCCTAGCTTAATGTAAAGTTATTTGATCTCCTGACTGCATTCATCTGGAAACTAAAGCAGCATTGATCAGAGAGGTCTTCTCTAAATGGCTTCTGTCACTAATCCACAATGGCCACCAAACACCCCATATTCCAGTGTTTTATCAAACATTGCCAAGTTTTATCAAAACTATTGCCAGGTTTTTATTCAAAATTCAGAGTTCTGGCTGCTTAAAATATATTAAAAGGAAACAAAATCCACATTACTCAGGTTCCTAATGATTTGCAACTGAATCTGCAGCAGTTTTAATTCTTAGGAACAATGGACCAATAGAGACAAATAGATGATAGAAATGGGGTATAAAAGATTCTGGTAGAAACATGAGATGGAAGAATGGGTGGGCTTTGGGCTTATATTCAGGGAAATCAACTTTTGATGTTTTGCCATATTTAAAAGCAGTGCTTTTTCTCTTAGTAAGACAGAATAGTTTCCTGTAGGTCTGAATTAAATAGCTCAGGTATATGGTGACTGAATAACTCTGCAGAGTTATTGGAATACATTTTGCAATCTGAAATATACTTTTTTAAAAAATGATACTTGTTTAAAACCTATCAAACCCACAAAACGAGAGTGTTAAAATCCTCTCCTTGCCTCACAGCTGTCCTCAAGACTGTTAAGATTAATCTTCAAAAAGTTTGTTTGAATTCTAATGCGTGGGCTCCACAATGCAATCCTTTTTGACTCTAAACTCTTCAATATTAATACATAGTTAATGCTGACTATTTCATATTGGATCTGCAATTTGATGTAGGTACAGATGCTCCATAAACAAGGAAAATCAAGCCACCATCCACATATATTCTATGGTGGTGTGAATGCTTGATTACTTTAATCACATAGGCTTCCACATTCAATTATTGATATCTTTAGAGAAGGCTGGAGGGCAAGGGTGGGATTCTACCAGTTCTGTCCACTTCTGTAGAACTGATTGCTCTGAAGAGCAGCAAACAGAGAGCATACATAAAACCAGTTCTATGTCTGCTGCTGTTCTGGCCCACCCGTCTGCCTGGGCTCTTACCTGACTTTTATTTCCTGTGTTTTCCAGTGTGCAGCTGCTTTGTGTGACATAGCTGTGGTTGAAAAGGCAGGAAAAAAGGGCTTTTCCAACCACTGCGCACTTGCACGCAGCACTGCTCAACTGTCTGGGCAGCTCAGCAGATTGTAAATTGCACTTGCGCGTGTGCGGGCATGCACGCACAACAAAGAGCAACAGAACCGGTAGTTATATCGGTCAGGTCCCGTCCCTGCTGGAGGGCTGCTGCCACTAAATAAATAAATAAATATAAACATTCCTGCATTAGGTTCAAATGACAGTTGATTGGATCCAAGATCTATGGAAATCAATGGAAAATTAGTGTGATATTGTTTTCTCTGATCCATTAATAGCAAACTTAAGTTAGTATGCAACTTATTTGATGGTTTTATAGACCAGCTAAGCTAATCATGATTTGTTGACTGAACTGTAACAATCTAGTTCCTACATAATGTGATATTCTAGATTTAAAACCAAAGAAACCACATCATGGCTGTGTGTATATGTGGGCATTTGTGTGTATGTTGTTATGAGTAAGTACCTAGAAATTAAGTCATTGATGGAGCTTGTTTAGGATTTGTTTTTCAACTTTTTTTTTAGTTGAGTGTTAGTATTTCCAACTTATTTATTTCTATTTGGTGTTTTTTTTTTGTTCTGTTTTACTATATTGTGAGTTGCCCAGAGTCCTTTGAGAATCTGGCAATGCCTAAATTGGAAAAAAAGAGATGAGTGGATAGAGTAGAATATAGAACAGAATAGTATGGAGCTGGAAGGGGCTTCGGAGGTTTTCTAGTCCAGCCCCCTGCTCAAGCAGGAGAATATATACCATTTCAAACAAGTAACTGTATAGTCTCTTCTTAAAAACCTCATTTAATGGAATACCCATGAATGAGCTACACAACTTTATTTTGGGAAGGAGGAATCAAGAGAAGAAATTATTGCAATCTTCAATGATCTGTAAAAATTATTATGTAGAAAGTGGAACAATCCTGTTCTCCATTTCACCAAAAAACAAAAGTGATCATTAATTGAAACGAAATATTGGTTAAATGTTTAGCTCATTCCTAATAGCAAACATTGTTTGAGATAGAAACAGCCTGCCTGAGAAGATGATGAGCTCTTTTTGAGATGTTTAAGCATTCAGCTTAATGAGATGCTGAAGCTGTGCCCAGATCCTACATTGTTTGAGAGTTAAGCAAGATAAACAGCACAATCAGCTATGATGTATTTATGTTCATACAGTAGAGTTCAATATTTTAAGATGGATTACAGCATAAAAAAACAATCAGATCCAAACACAGTTTTAACATCTCCCCCTTATTTTAAAAACAAAACCTAGACCAGTAAACTCTTTGAAAGAGGAAAAAGCCAGAGCACTAGAAAATCAGACCAAGTGCAGACAGATTCTTCCTGCCTCCCCTTTAGCTGGAAATTATTCTTTTACAAAACCATGTGAAGAGATTGGAAAACATTATTTTTACTAGCACATTTCTTTACAACACTAAAAGGCCATCCACTCATTTATACCATGAATCCAGTATTTCTATGTTAAAGACTTCCTTTTCACAAGCAACAAATGCCAAGTCTAGAAGACCTTGCCAACACTCCTTTTCCTATACTTGTAAACAGACATAAGGTCTCATTCTGCCTGTTTTTAATGCTCATTCATAAGTGGCATAGCTAATATAGAACAAAATGATACTGCCGCATCATCAGCATCAGAGTTAGGGTATGCAGACGTACAAAGATTCTTAGAAAAATATTTTTTTTCGAAAAGAAAAATGTGATCATGATGTACTGATGACATACCTGCTTTCTTGGTGAGGTAGTTTTATAATATGTATGATAGTTGACTGTCATTATTTCTAATTGTTTCATCTGGCAGGTAAGAAGGGAACAAAGGTATTTTTTTTTAAGAATTTTTATTTTTAAAAACAAACATACACATACAAAACATAAAAACATAGAATCATTTTCCATTTTATATACATACAGTATGTCAGTTGGTTACAAATCTTTTGTGCTATTCTTTTGCAGTCATTTATTCACAATGGAACAATGGTATTTATATACTCCCTTATCTTATGTTTGTGTGTCTGTGTCTTTGAGGCAGGGTGGATTACTAACATCTGCATAGAATAATGCCTACTGGTTTTTTTGGCAAGATTTCAGAAGTGATTGCCACTGCCACCTTCTTAGGGCTGAGAGACAGTGACTGGCCAAGGTAACCCAGCTATTAAAATGGGTCTTGAACTAATAGTCTCCTAGCTTTTAGCCTGATGCCTTAACTAGAACTCAAACTAATTTAATTCATTCTTTGCATCTATCTTTACACAAAAG